CCTTTTTTAAAAAAAAAAAAGGCCCAAGGAAGGGGCGGAAACCCTTAAAACTAAAAGGGTTTTTAAACCGCGCCCCGGGCTTAAAAATTTTCCCACACCCCGGGGAAAAGGGTTCCCACCCAGTCCCCTTTTTTTGAGCCGAACCAGAGCGGGGAGGGCACTCAAATTCACGGTGTGGGACCCTCCATTTAAATTCCCCCCTTAGGGAGGAGGGTTTCCGGAGCCCCCCCCCCCCCCCCCCCCAAGCGACGATTTGCCCAGCGACGATTTGCCCTTGCGCAGCTGCTGGAGCCGGGTTGGAAATCGGCCGATTTGCCCAGTGTGACGGCCCCGGGTGACAAGGACAAGAGGGGGGGTGGGGAAAGAATTTTAACACTAAGCTCCCTCGCACGACACTGGGTAAAGAAAGAAAACAGCGACCCAAGGGAGGACGGCACGCCGCCACCAAAGGGATTTAAGGAGAGGAGTGTTGTGGTGCTAGCCGTCGCCCACCCTCGGGCGTCTGGTGTGTGATGCAGAAGCCACGGCGCGATTCTTATGTCAAGGGAGACTTGCGGCCCAGTCGACTTCCGATTTCTTTTGTTCGATCGATGCCGCTGTGCGTGCCGCCGCAAACTCCCGCGCTCCGCGGCTCCAATCACCTGCTCGTCTCGCGCAGAGCAGGCGCGCCGTCCCTGCTCCGTCGCTCCCGCAAGCTGCTCGAGCGGTACCGCGAGGTGCACCTGCACGGCCTCGGGGCGGCCATCGCACCGACCATCACCATCGCGGCCCAGCTGGTGCTCGAGTCGGGCGGCGCGCTCGTGGCGTCCGCTTCCACCTCGACCGAGACGCTGTTGGATCGGAGCATCGAGCAGGGCGGTGCGCACGAGGACGAGGACGTGGACCGGTGGGCGGAGGAAGACGGCGAGGAGCGGGGAGTGTCTGCATCGCCAGACGACCCAATGGAGGAATGTCCTGCGGATGGCGAGGAAGCATCATCACGCTCGCTCCTGCGGCTCAGCTCGGCAGTGCACATTCGCATTTACCCCACGTAGATGTCGAAGCGAACGTCGATCGACCTAATCATATGGGTGTGGAGTGTGCCACGCGACCCTACGCGCCACAGGTGAGAAAGATCTTTCTGGGAGTGGGACAGCCACGGGTGCGAGTCCTACGCGACCGAGGGGCTCACGCGTGGGACCCTTCGACGAGCAAAAAAAAAGATGCGGGGGACTTCTGGCGCGTTTTACAGATTACACTCCGGTGATGTGTGATCACACTCACACTGTCATGTACACATGTGCCGGGATTTTTGCGCTGCGAAGCCGATCTGTGGGTCTCTCCGCAAGAAACTAACTTTCGAGCAGACCGGCACTGTCTCTCCCGTCCTAACTCTAGCCCTCTCTCTTTGACTTTGTCTCCGCTCCCGCCCTCCTCCCCGCCCCGCCGGGCCCGAGAGGGAGAGACGAGAAGAGAGGCGGTGAGAGGCACCCGATGCCGGCCCGGGGCAGTGAGAGAGGGAGAGACGAGAAGAGAGGCGGTGAGAGGCACCCGATGCCGGCCCGGGGCAGTGAGAGAGGGAGAGACGAGAAGAGAGGCGTTGAGAGGCACCCGATGCCGGCCCGGGGCAGTGAGAGAGGGAGAGAAGAGAAGAGAGGCGGTGAGAGGCACCCGATGCCGGCCCGGGGCAGTGAGAGAGGGAGAGACGAGAAGAGAGGCGGTGAGAGGCACCCGATGCCGGCCCGGGGCAGTGAGAGAGGGAGAGAAGAGAAGAGAGGCGGTGAGAGGCACCCGATGCCGGCCCGGGGCAGTGAGAGAGGGAGAGACGAGAAGAGAGGCGGTGAGAGGCACCCGATGCCGGCCCGGGGCAGTGAGAGAGGGAGAGACGAGAAGAGAGGCGGTGAGAGGCACCCGATGCCGGCCCGGGGCAGTGAGAGAGGGAGAGACGAGAAGAGAGGCGGTGAGAGGCACCCGATGCCGGCCCGGGGCAGTGAGAGAGGGAGAGACGAGAAGAGAGGCGGTGAGAGGCACCCGATGCCGGCCCGGGGCAGTGAGAGAGGGAGAGAAGAGAAGAGAGGCGGTGAGAGGCACCCGATGCCGGCCCGGGGCAGTGAGAGAGGGAGAGAAGAGAAGAGAGGCGGTGAGAGGCACCCGATGCCGGCCCGGGGCAGTGAGAGAGGGAGAGACGAGAAGAGAGGCGGTGAGAGGCACCCGATGCCGGCCCGGGGCAGTGAGAGAGGGAGAGACGAGAAGAGAGGCGGTGAGAGGCACCCGATGCCGGCCCGGGGCAGTGAGAGAGGGAGAGAAGAGAAGAGAGGCGGTGAGAGGCACCCGATGCCGGCCCGGGGCAGTGAGAGAGGGAGAGACGAGAAGAGAGGCGGTGAGAGGCACCCGATGCCGGCCCGGGGCAGTGAGAGAGGGAGAGACGAGAAGAGAGGCGGTGAGAGGCACCGATGCCGGCCCGGGGCAGTGAGAGAGGGAGAGACGAGAAGAGAGGCGGTGAGAGGCACCCGATGCGGTCCGGGCCGTTGAAGTCCTCGACGTGGGGGAGGCCGGCGGTGGAGAAGGCCTACTCGTCGAGGGAGACGTGTGCAGGAAGTGTCGAGGGGGGTGTCTAGCGAGGTGTCTAGGGAGGAGTGGCAGACGTCGAGGAAAAAGTCGGACAGCTCATCGGAAGCGACGGTCGTGACACGGACCGGCCCGCCGGTGCCGTGCAGCGGAGAGCTGCCGAACTGCTCGTTGTCTTCGGAGCGCTTGTAGAAGGGGAGCACCTGCGGCGCCGAGCGGGCCGCCAGTGGGAAGCGAGGGGACGGGCGCGGTGCAGCCGCAGCTTGCTGCCGCACGTCGTCCCACGACCAGCCGGCTCCCCACTCGGCAAAGTCGGCAGGCCGGCCGCGCATGTAGAGCATGGCGTTGTGGATGCCGCAGCCGCCCAGCCCGCGCGCGATGGCGGGCGGCGGGTCGGCGGGCACCACCCACTGGAACTCCTTGGACCAGCGGTGATCAGAGAGCACCTGCACCCAGCCGAGCGGCACATCGAAGATGGTCCACTTGCCAGCCACGGGCTCCGCGTCGCCGCCGAGCGAGATCTGCGTCGAGCCTCCCGCCTCGAGCACGAGCACCGAGTAGCCAGCCTCGCCCAGCCGGCCCGCAACCACCGCGCCGGTCGAGCCGCCGCCGACCACGATGTAGTCAAAGACGGCCGGGCCGCCGTCCGCAAAGAGGTAACGGACGATCGACCACGCGGAGAAGGCGAGCAAGAGGAGCAGGCCGACCTCACGGAGCATCCACGCACCGTCTCGCGGCCACCGTCGCGCTCTCGGTGGAGCAAGAGCGATAGCCGCGAGCAAAGCGGCCGCGAGCAAACAAAGCGAATAACGCGACTGGCGGAGCTAGTTAGGCTCTCTTCCTTTCCTTTTTTCTCTACAGCACCCTTGGCACCGTGGAGTGCTGGGGGGGGCGACAGGGAGGATGTGGCCCTGAGTTATGTGTACGCCGACTCAGGGTGTGTGGCAGCCAGCTGGCTGTGTGTCTTGTGAGCTTGTTTGTGTCTGTGTGTCGCTCGTGCGTGTCGTCATCATCTGTCTAGCGTCCACCCATACCGCGTTGGTGTCCAGTCCGAGCCTGGCTGTTCTTCACCTTACTACCTACCTACCTAGCACCCTCTCTTTTCTCTCTCTTTTCCCGGGAAAACTCCGTGGAAATCGTCAAATTTTGGGCTCTGAGCCGAGTCTGAGGTTGGCCTGTACGAGGGTTTCCGGCAACCCAGAGGGAAACCAGAGGGTCCCCAGCACTTTGCGTTTCCGGAAATTTCCAGGGAAACCAGAGGGTGTTTGGAGCTCCATTCTGTTTCTCTCGAGTTTCCCGAAGGCCCCCGCACGGGGGGTCCCGGCCGACGTCATGCGCGTCCGGACGCGGCCCTCCGTACACGGAAACAGGATACTGAAGGCATTCCCGAACTCAAAACAGGATACTGAGGGCAGATATGAGCTCAGCTCAGTGAGATCTAGCTGCACATACCCTTAGTATCCAGAATAGTCAAGTCTGAAAAAAGTCGGTCCGACCGCGCGGAGCCGTCTGGCTCTCTGCAGAGCCCTCGCGGGCACGCCTGGTCCGCGGCGGCGAGGAGGGAGCGAGCGCCGAGAGCAACGTCAATCCTGTGTGCGAGGGGGAGGGGAACACACTTATGCTAGTAGGTCAGGGAGGTGTAGATGGCCGGGGTCAACCACCTGCACTCGGATGAGCCGCAGCCTAATCTCCGCCGTCGCCGCAGCAGGCAGCAGCTTGCCAAAGGAGCCGCCAGCGTGGAGTATAGGTGCCAAAGCTCTGCTCCATGGTGTTCGCCGCCGATACGCGAGCCCCACTTTTGTTGCTGCGCACTCTCATCTATTGTGGACGGGACGTAGCCTTCTGGCACGGGCAAGACCTCGGCTGGCACGTAGGAAGGTCGAGGTCCGGGCTCCCCCAGTCCCATGTTGACGACACCAGTAGACAGCTCCTTGCCGAGCATTGATGTGCAGAGGGCCTGGTAGATGACTGGACCAAGGCACTGCACACCGGAACCAAAACACTGCATGCACTTGCTCGCATCCGGCCCCGCTGTGCTCTTGGAATGCAGCGTGCCACGGCACAGGCAGTGCGGCAAACGCTGTATGCTCGGTCATCATCGCCTCCGTGCTTGTCCCTGCAGCCATACTGCGTCAGTTAGCACTGTAGGCGAGAGCACGCCGAGCACCGCACTCGTTGCAGCTGCCGAGGGCTGCACGCGTAACTGCTGTGCGCCCGCGAGAGCGCGCGATGTTTTGTTCTCCGCTCGAGGTTCTCCTGAAAAGAAAGATATCCGGCCCGAACGCTACGGTGGAGCACAGAAAATCACGCGCACCAACTCCAATTAGAACTCCAATTAAACAAAAACTCGAATTAGCAGACAGAAGAACGCTATGGCTAGAGTGAAAGCCCCGCGAAGCGGCGCAAAACATGATAGCTGGGCTCATCAGTCCTGCTGTCGAGTCACCTGGGCAAGAGTCTGACAACGACAGCTTGCCAGGAAAGGGCAGCTACACGTCCAGCCACGCATCGAGTGACGACGAGCAACCAGGAATCCTGCTCCTCGACGACAGCACATCGATCATCGTCCTCGCATGCCACATCATCGACGACAGAAGGCAGGCAAGCCATCCCAGTGACGCCCGATCGACCCACAGCGATCCCACGGCTGAAGATCTTGTCGCTGGTTGTTGCGCCCTGCGAACGACTTCGGTGTGGGCCGCTCAAGTCGGTCGAATTTATTCAACGCTCTTGGCATGCACGGCAGGAGAACGACAGCGGGGTGGCGCAACTTCCCCGATCCCCTTCACTGCTTGAGATGGCTGCACAGAACGCAGTATGGGCTCGGGCGTCGGTCCATTCAGACTGCGGGGGAGCATGCATACCCCACAGCCACGCTCCAGACCGCGCTGCTGATCCGGCAAATTGGAGGACCTCGTGCCTCTCGGCTTCTCTTATGCGTGATGCCAGCAGAAAGGACGCTGATGCATGCTCAAATGAGGCACCGCGTATCTCCTCGCAGCTGCAGCTGGCATCCGCCGTGGACTAACGAAATCTGCGATCTCAGTGCCCCAGCACGCAAAATTTTCTCTGCAGGGCTACCGCCCCGCACCCCGCCTGGGATGAATTCACACCTCTCAACAGCTGTTCACACTTGGAAAACTCACTGGATTTGGGCCACTTGCCTGGGCGACCCTGGACCCCTGGCGGACGCGCATGACGTCGGCCGGGACCCCCCGTGCGGGGGCCTTCAGTTTCCCTCGGGAAACTCGCGAGTTTCCCTGAGTCTGAGAGCTGGTCTGGGGCAAAATCTGGGGCAAAATTGAGGAAATCGGCACGATACCCAGGTATTTTCCAGGTATACCGGGGTTTTCCAGGTATACCCGCAAAATACCCGGTATTTTGCCGATTTTGGCCCCAAAACAGCCTCAGACACGGCTCAGAGCCCCCCCAAAATGACGAATTCCACGGAGTTTCCCCGGGGTTTCCCGAGGAAACTAGAGGGTGTTGTAGGGAAACGAGGAGGAAACACGGAAAGGAAACCAGGTAGGGTGCGAGAGGAAACCCTCGTACAGGCCAAGTCTGAGGCTGCTGGTTTGGGCCCAAAATCAGCCAAATTTTAGGCCAAATCGGCAAAATGCCGGGAATTTTGCGGAGAACCCGTGCATACCTGGAATTTACCCTGCGACCGCCTGGGTATTTTGTCGATTTCCTCAATTTTGCCTCAGATTTTGCCCCAGACCAGCTCTCAGACTCAGGGAAAACAGCGAGTTTCCAGAATGGAGCACCAAACACCCTCTGTTTTCCCTGAAAATTTCCGGAAACGCAAAGTGCTGGGGACCCTCTGTTTTCCTTTTTGTTTTCCGGAAAATCTTATACAGGCCAAATTCCCGGGAATAGGACCTTAGGGTACCCCTAGGGTTCTGAGGGCCGGATTTTTTTAAGACCTTTTAAGAAACGAGGAGGTTTGGGGGCTTAACTTGCCATTTAAGAGATTGCAGGCACGGGGGGTCCCTCTTTTAAGTCCGTTTAAGAAAATCGGCCTCACCGGCACGCGTCGCTGGGTTCCGCGCCGGTTTCTCCAATACTGCCGTTATTAGGCACGAACCCGCCACGAAGACACATCTGTAAGTCTGGTGCACTGGCGGGAGCCATACTCGCATAGGGGACGCGTGCCAGCTGACTGTAGCCAGCTTCCCGGCCTCCGGCGTCTACCGGGGAGCCTCCCGGACCATCGACCTCGGGAGCTCTCCCGCACCGTTTAAGCGTTTAAGACCGTTTAAGGAATCGGCGGCCCAGCAGCTCTTAAAACCGGCCTAGGCCGGTTTTAAGCCGTTTAAGCCGCAGGCGCCCCAGGGCCCACCCTTTTAAGCCTAGGGGTACCCTAAGAATAGGACGCCGCGAGCGGCGTGGCGTGGAGCGGTTGAGCATCCCTCCGGGGGCCCCTCTGCGCCGGGGAGGCGTTGTTGGAGGCTAGGACGCAAGCGTCCGTCGCCCCTTTTCAAACTCGGGGCCCACTCCGCTACGCTCCGACCCGAATTTGGAGGGCCTAAAAGTTTAAGGTGTTGCTGCGCAAAAGGGGAAGACGCTCCACGCACAAAAAGTATATGTATCAGTTCTTACGAACGTACTTCCTCTTAGGCGGACCCTCCCGATGCCAGGACGCATGCGGCCAACAACGCTATTCGTGCGGAAGAGCCACTGCAAGCGGACTGTGCCCCTGAGCCAATGCGGCGGCGAATGGCAAAGCGCATACAAAAGTCGGGGTCGCAGAGAGCGTCGCGCAGCAGTTGAGCATGCTCGTCGGTCGCGTTGTTTAGGACGCCACGCCAATTATCTGCGCGCCCATCTGTTGCCTGGCATCCCCGGCGAATTCGTCGCTCGTGATCAGCTCCGCTGCCGCTCGGAGCAACCAGTGCCGTGTCGAGATGAAGCTCCGCGACGACGCCCGTGGACTGCACGCGCAGGGAGAGGCGCACGAGCTCCCGCACGGCAAGCGACTTCTCGGCATGCGCCGCCTGACGCCTGTCGGCATCCCATTCTTGCAAGCAAGCCATTTCTACCGACCGCGTATTTGGTCGACGGGACGGACGTTTTGGTACGTTTTGGCACCAGCTGAAGGCTTGCCCCCGCAAAAGCCCGTTGCCAACCCCTTTTTCAGTGTATGTAGCTCTTTTTTGCCAGAGTATCGCGAATCAATTGGCCTCCGCTCAAGGTGTGAACATATTCGCTGCGGTCAAAATGAAATGAAAAACCAAGCACCGGGAAAAGGAAAGCACCGCCGCAGCGGGAGGCATTGCACACTGACCGCGTTTTCTTTTTCGAGCTCGAGGAAGGCCTACGCCAGCGCGCCCGCCCTCCAGCGTCCCTCTCGCACAGAGATGGGCGAGCCGGTGATCAAGTTCCGAAACTACCAGCCCAAGACGGAGCTCGACCAGCTCGGTGCCGAGACGGTGGAGAAGGCGGCCGTGCCGGACGTCGAGGAGGCGCTGCAGGTGCACCGCCGGCAGTACCCCGCGGCGGCGGCGGGATGCTCAGTAGCCCGCGCCACGCCGGAACGCGCAGGCTGGCAGCTCGGACGTCGCGCACACGGATCCGACCCAGGAGCCGCTCCTCAACCTCGCGCCCAAGAAGGTGAACTGGGACCTCAAGCGCGACATTGAGCCGCAGATGAAGAAGCTGCGAGCCGCGACCGACCGCGCCATCATCGAGCTCATCAGAGAGTGCGCGCGCGTCCGAG